GTTCACACTTACAGATTAAGTTTAGTCATGGTGTCATTGGTTTGCTGAGTATTTATCTGAGCCAAGTAACTGTTCTCTCATCATCTCTAGTTTTGCTGGAGTTCCAGCCAGACCCAGAATGTTGTATACCATCACAGGTGTTTGGGCCAACACTGTCCTGTTGGGAGGTAGTCAGCAGTGGTGTTACTCTGTCACCCCACATCGTTGTGGAACAAAGAAAGGGGCAGAACTGAGGCAAATCAGAGGGTGACTTGGAAAGCTTGCTCATACCTGCCATCTGCCCTGAACCTGCCATCTGAATGTTGTGGATGGAACAAGGAGTATCATCTTCATCCCTTCTCCATCTGTTTTGGTCCTAATTGTTGCTGAGAATGTGTGACCAGGGACTGAGTTCAACTTTCAGAATGGTGATGAATACATTTCAAATAAAGTGCACTGTGGTCCCTGCCACACGGCAGAAAAAAACCCGGGCAAAGTGCGGCTAATAAGAGCCGCACCAAAATAGAGACGCCACGGCAGGATCCCACGGATCCCCTGAGCCGCGGCGCCGTTGCTCCCCGGCATGATCAGATGCCGGGGAGGAAGCCACAGTTGGGAGGGGGAGGCTGCCGAACTGTGCATGTCTGAGCATGCGCAGTTCAGCCAGGAGCCGGGGATGCGCTGGTGGAAGTACGTGCCGGCGATCCCATGGCCGGCCTTGATGCAGACTTGCTGGAAGAACCACCTTGGTAGGTGGTTTATTTTTGCCATGGCGTTTTGGGCGGAAGGGCCGGATCGGGGACAGGTGCGCAACGTTTCCCAGATGTTGCAGTTTGCTCCGCCCCCAATCCGTCCCTCTCCCAGCCCAAAACCTCTCGTGTGACCAGGGCCTGTTTCTACTATACCTGTATGTAGGAGCTACGGTGGCTCAAGTGGTTAAGATGCTGAACTGCAGGCTGTGGAAGGTCAGTAGTTCAGCAGTTCGAGACCCGAGTGTGCTACATGACGGAGTGAGCTTCCGTCTCTAGTTCCAGCTCCTGCCAACCTAGCAGTTCGAAAGCAAGTAATTGCAAGTAGATAAATAGGTACCACTTTAGTGGGAAGGTAACAGCATTCCGTGCGCCTTGGTGTTTAGTCATGCCGGCCACAAGACCATGGAAATGTCTTCGGACACGAACAGCGCTGGCTCTTCAGCTTTGAAACGGAGATGAGCACCGCAATCCTAGAGTCGGATTCGACTGGCTTTCGAGCAAGGGAACCTTTACTTTTATGTAGGACTACATGATTTTACAGTCGGTTTTTGCTTGTACTGCCACTTTTGCTAACAGTTGTCACAAGAAAATCGACCTGAAATAGCTGTTGACTGGGATCCTGCTAAATCTCCTGTACCTCTTGAGTGGCCCCACAAATCGTTCATTGAGGATTAACGGAGTAAACTGGTGAGTAAGCCTGCTGGAGTCCACATGACATGTTGCCTCCGTTCCAGTATAATACGTATAAAGGAAATGGCACAAAAATAAGGCCACTGTTACCAGAATAGCTATCCTGCCCACAGCTGAATATTAAGCAATCTAGATAGCGGAACAGTAGCTCCAGTTTTTTTTTTTTTTTTTAATCTACATAGGGAATACGAGTGTGTTAACAGGATGAAGGCAATCAAGCCACACCAGGCTAGAGGACAAAGGTACCACTCCCCCTCTATTGGTCTTCATATGGTATGCAACCACTGACCACTAATGGAATCCGGACATTAAGGGCCTTGTGACAGCTGGAAAGCTCTGATTCAGATCTTCTCATTGTCCCCAAATTCCTGCCACAGTTTTGACTCAGTGTCGTGCCTGCAATTTGGATATGTCTTCGTACCAGTTTCTAGTAATTTTGTCTAGACACTCCCCACAGTCTACTACTCTTCCCCAGGAATTCAAATAGCATACCCCCAGTCCTATAGTCCCCTCCCAGTAATTCTATAAATTTCCAAGCGATTCCTTTGTCCACTGTTCCACTTCTCTGTGTTCTGGGAAAAAAAACCCCGAGGTCTAGAGTTGGAGTCTCATGAACATGGTGCCAGTGGGCACTACTGTAGCACCTGCCAACACCTTTCCCAGCATCCACCAAGTATTCTTAGAAAGTGGACAGGGCCAGGTGGGGCTTTTGCCTATCAGGGCTTCTGACGGAACACTGGGGGATCTGATTGGCTCTGCAGATTAAAAAAAAAAAAAAGGTTGTTTTGGCAGTAGCTTGTCACCACAGCAGAAAGATCTTCACTTGTACAACTGAAGATGATGTATGTAAGCAAGAAAATATTTTTAAACAGTACGTTCATTATAAAATGGTTTCCTGTTAAACAGAGCTTTGGCCTGAAATGTTGAAGAGTTACTATTAGTTACGCATAACCCCATTACTAGTTACGCACAGGAGTCATTTCCTGCAGGAGCACACAGGAGCGGAGCTCCGGCAGTAAAGAGCCCAGGGGGCGGGCACATGCAACAAGCCCCACCCCCTGTTCTCAGCAGCCCTCAGTCAGAGCAAGAAGCAGCCAGGTAAGTTGCAGAACTACCCCCGGCCCCCCAGTCCAAAACAGTCCAGTGGCACCTTTAAGACCAAGTTTTATTCAGGTACAAGCTCTCCCTCCTCTGCGAGGACAGATCTGCACGTTCCCCCCTCCCCAATAGCTAGCAATCCAAAACAGTCCAGCGGAGCCTGAGCGGTGGGTGTTGCCTTCTGACACACTTCCGGTGATGCCAGGGGGTGTGGCATATGCAAATAAGTTATGCTAATGAGCTCCTGCACCTTTTTTTTAACGAAATGACCCCTGGTTACGCATAACCTCACTCTCTGACATTTTGTGGATGGTTCCACCTCTCATGGTAACCATTTTGCAGTTGTACTCACTACTTTGTGTCAGAATTCCAAAGGTGCGCACAGGCTCATTAAGGCTGAGGAGCCCTGCCCTGCGTTATCCTATGGCCCACAAACAGTATAGCTAGCCTGGGCTTTGCTTCTCTCTGCTACTTGGGGCCTCACACCGGAAGACTGGGCACCTCTGTTCCTCTGCACTTCTCCTCTGTCCTATTCCCCATATTTATACCTCTAGCTTAAAAGTAACTCTTGTTCTAAAATGGAATCACTCTGATTTCTGGTTGATGCTGTGATATTGTTCTGTTTGGACACAAGTGTATTATTTGTCTATCCTTTTGAATTAATGTTTGCTTAGGATAAGTTTTCCCTTCCCTAATATTGTACCAAATTCCGTAATACAGTCTGTATTTGTTTTTTGAACCTCTGTTATCCTTCTGTTGAAATTACTACTCACACCCACCTCTTTGTGTAAAAGATTTCTTTTTCATTCTCCCTATACAAACTAATTTCCCATGTTTGTCTGAATGAATCTTTATGTGTGTGTGGGGGTGGGTGTCTGTGATAAAAATGTCTGCATGCACCCAGTGCCTCATTTTATGCAAAATGCACCATATATTTCTACATTAACTGGGGAAAAAATAATCTAATAATCTATCATTTTTAGCATGAGCAGAAATTAACCATCTCTTCATACTCTTCACTCTGGAAACATTACCAAAATTATTTTAAAATCTCCAAAGCACAGAATTTAAAAACTTAACTATATATAATATTTATTATCAATCCACAGGATAATTTGATTGCTACATAAAGTCATTAAAAGCTATTTCACCTTTACAAATTGTAAAAAAAGAAAGAAAATGTGCCACAAAGATGTAATCATTGCTGACAACCAAGACACTGAATTGTAAAATTATAAATTTGCTGTAGAAAAGATAAAAAAACCTGAAACAATTATATTCACTTTAGAATTTTACTTTGAATAAAATATTCCACTGTATAAAAAATAAAAAAGCTTACTCTGGTTAGAATTAGAGTATTTTTTTTCTTTAAACCTGGGAATTTGCATAATATATCTTAATAGATTTTCTTCTTCCGTTGTACCACAAAGCTTTCAAACATAGCAGATTAGACACATATAATACAAGCATTCTTTCATTTAAAAAAAAAATCTGTGAAATCTACACAAGAATTTTTTAAACTTCCTCTTTAATTAGTTTTTCCATAGGCCAAGGCTTCATTAGTCTTGGGAAAGAATCAAGTTGGAAGCAGAAGGAAGGTCTTTTAACAGTGCAATCTTATGCAGAATTACACCAGTCTAAACCAATCCTGAACAGAGTTTCACTTTTCAAAGTCCACTGAAGTCAATGGGTTTAGCTATTCTGTTTAGGACTGCACTGCTAGACTGGAGTAGCTCTAAATCGGACTGCATTGCTGGTGTGCCATAATTAGAGCAAAGTAATGAAAGGCCTTTTTTGCAAGTGCTTTTTAATAAGGTGCAAAAGCAGACTGCCGACTGCTAGTACTGCGCTATGTACATATTTACAATATATATATTTTTTAATCCAGCTAGTTCACATTTTCTCTTCCATTACAAGGCTTTCAGTTCCACTGTGGCCTTGACTGCAAAAGTGCAGCGACTCCATTTGTGGGGGCTGTTGGTCCTCTTGAAGACGAACTGGAACCTACCAAAGTGGGTCTTCTCTTCCTTGGCTGGGACCTTGGAATTCCTCTTGGCTTTTTGTCTACATTCGGATGGCTGGAGTCCTGAGCTTGAAACGCTCCAGTACTGGAGTTGGACACAATCATGTTGCAAAGGCTTTTCCCTTAGATTTGTTCAATGTACATTAGATGTGCTCCTCAAAGACATCACACACAAAATCAGGTGGGAACAGACCAGTTCATAGCTTAGCTGCTCTTGACTCGTGACTGAGTAATATCTGATGTTTTCTTGATGACACTTGCCCGGTTTTCATGGTCAGGCCTGCTGCTGTAACTGGTAGATGCTGAGCACATGATTTGTTGGAGATGAAGGTCTGGGAAAGAAGGCCACGTGCTGTTGTAAGGCAGAGGGCAGCTTTCTTCTTTGATAGTGACCTGAAGGTCAGGCTTGTTGGAAGTCACAAAAGTAGCCATGCCAGGAAGTGGGTAAGGGGGGTTCCTTGTCCCCAAGTTGCTATAGTACTGTTTGCCGCCAACGTTTTCTTTTTGCCACTGAAGCTGGCCCTGTAAAAAGAGATGGGTCACTGAGAGAGACTGTTGTTTCTATCAGTACTAGGTATACTACAGCCTCTTATCAGTCCTCTACTACGTTAGATACCAGACGGAGTACAACCGTTCTCATAAAATGGCCACCAATATGCTGATGAGAGAATGACAAAGCCAACTTCCCCCCAAATCTAAGTTTGTATGGCCTCATTGCTATAAATGGTCATGTGATATTATAGCAAAACATGCAAGATTCCAAGAAAAATGTGTGAGGATATACTTGTGCGTGTGCACGCACACACGCACTACAGCCAAAGGTGAATACTTTTACTTACTTCTGAGCCTACATGTGGTTGTTGGAGACCTATGCCTTTAAACCAAGTGTCAGTCCCAGATAAAGTAAGAGGGAGGGAGGGTTTTCAGCTCCTCCCCTGAGGTATTTTCTCCCACCTGGGTTCTGATGCCAGAACTGAATTTGGCAAGGAGTGCTAGCAGGGTGTAGTGGTTAGAGTGTCAGACCAGGATTTGAGAGACCCATGCCCCCACTCTGCCATGGAGAAGCTTGCTGGGTGACATTGGGCCAGTAAAATGGAGGAGAGGAGAATTATGTAAGCCCCCTTGGGTCCCCACTGGGGAGGAAAGTGGGGCATAAATGAAGCAAATAAATAAATGAGAAAAGCAGTTGATAGAGGAGACTTCAGCATCCCCTCTGTGCTTCAATTCATTCCCCCCCCTTTTACATAGCATATGCTGCCCTGACGGGTAATCTGGCCCATATGCAAATACTTAACACTCTCCCATCAAGGTCAATGGGAAGTGAAAGTGCTTAACTTTGGAAATTTCCAAAATTTGGTTTAATTTCATTGCAAAGTTGAATACAAGAATTAGCAGCAGAAACTTCAGTACAATCATGGAACAAATGATTGGAAGGGGAGATGTGAATCGTTCTATGTCATTTGGTTACCTGTGCATTTTCTTCGTCGCTTGGGATGCTATCTGTGGTTTCACTCTCTGTGACACAAAATGGGGATAAAAATAGAAGTTGATATTATTCTTTCCGAGCTATTATAAGCCATCCGGTTAATAGTGTTAATCTCTACAAATGTTTGAAGTCTTGCTCATCAATAGCCAGGATAAACCGGGACCCACTATACAATTAAAACAGTCTTTTTAAAAAAATACTCTAGGTTATACTTCCACTTATACAAGAATGGACTCCAAGCCAGCCCTATGAGGTTTATGCAGATGCAGATGCAGCCTGTTCCACACAACTGAAACAGGACAAGAGAGCACCAAAATTAGAAGGATCTAAAGAAAAACAAATGTAGAACAGTTCTGTTTGAAGACTCAAAAGGGAATTGTTTTCTTTTTTTCAGCCTGCTAAAGGGGCAATATTCTTTTCTAATCCTCCCTGTAGCCACTGCCTTCATTACAGAGCTCTGTAATAGTATCTGCCACAGTATTTTGCATATTTGGCGGGCATCCACACCAGCATCCACACCCAAGGAGCAATAAAACTCATTTGGCTTGATAACTTTTATCTAGACTTCCAGCCTCAAGGACTTGCCATTTTTAACTGATCGTGTTACTGGCATCCTGCTATGCCGTGTTCTCCCTGAACCAAGCTTTTGTCCTTCATATTAGAGCTCAACAATCTTTCCCCATTTAACTGCCATAGTTAAGGCCAGATGCCAGCCCATGATTCCTAGGCACGGCAGCATCAGCAGCCCACTGGTGGAATATTACCTGTTCTTCTGCACCCCACACAAAGCCCTTTTCCTTTCTGCTTGGTAACTGCACATGTAACTGTCTCATACCATGCCGCCTATGCCACTTAAGTTCTAGAGTTAGGATCCAAATGGCCAGCTCACACGTGGGCTTCTTAACTTCCTGTCCTTTCATAGCTGCCCCCAAAGCAAGAAAAAGTAGAAATCAGGCAGGTGCTTTGTCACATAGGCAGGAGCTTTATGGTTCCCCCCACATTACTCTCAGAGCTTAAAGAGAACTGTGAAAGGTACATGAGCAGAAGGCAAAGGCTTGGATCTACCAGAGTGTTTCTGCAGACAGACGGATTTCTGGCTGAAGAGCAGAGTTTCCTTCCCTCCCCACACCTGCTGCAGCCCAAAATTGCTGTTCCAAGGAGTCTCCTGTCCAACAACAAGCAGGAGAGGGCAGGTGAGAGAGTCACGCTCCACAGGTGGCAATTCTTCTGTACATGGGAACTCTCTGGTGGATCCAATCCATTGCTTAGGACACAGTGCTCAGAGCTTCTCAGGCAAGGCAGAGAAGCCAAAGGCAACCTTAAGGAAGGATTCTAGTGATCGAGTAGTTAAAGGCTTCTGTGTCTCTCTCCCAAACCTGGGAGCTAGCTGGGTTGGATCCAAGCAGCTTTTACATTAGTAAAAGAAGGGCTCCCCTCTGACTTCTGAAAATGCTGTACTGGAGATCCTGGGACCTCTGTGTACAGAAGCCACGTGGGATGGGGGTTGTAGTAAGGAAGGGAACTGGCTGCGATGGAACAAGAAAGCTGTCTGAATCCAACCTGTAATGTATGATTATTCATTCACTGGCATGAAGCCCTCCACTCTGACTTTAAAAAGCAATTTACTATGCAAGAGGGAATGGAAAGCTGCAGCTGCTACACAACAGTGCACACGAAGAGCCATATGAGTGCTGAAGCCCTTGACTGGCACCTTGTCTCTTCCTGGGGACTTCAATGCACTTTGGAATAACCTCTGCAAATGGAAAAATGCTGAATCCCTTTTTGTGCTTTCCTCTTATCCAAGAATTATGTACACGAACAGTGAAATTTTCTGAATGTATTTCTTAAGCATAGATTCCATTTTAAATTTCTATTATTTCAGTATCTTATAATAGTGTTAACTTTTGTGTCTTTGGGGGGGGGAGTGGGAGGCCAGTGTTTTTCAAAACCCTTTCCCTGAAAATGTCAATAAAATCCCAACCATGAAAGTTCCAACTCATGCATTGACGTAGGCCAGGGCCCCCAACTCTCCCTGCAAAAGGCTGCTTACCGGCATAGGAGGAGACTGGGGAGATCTGTAGTGGGTATAGTTGACTCATACTGCTGGGCTGGTCGTCACACTCTGTTGTCACCTCCACTACTTGGCAAACATCGGGAGGATTGGGAACGATCATATGGTCATCAGGAGCACCCTCAAAATGCGAATCTCCTATCACTTTGTAGGATAATGAGAGGGTTATGATGATTACATTTCTTCATATTAAACAAAGGCATGTATTACGGCAACAAAAGGAACGGTGATGGAACAAAGTCATTCTCTAAAATGGACATGGACTTTGTCCTAAAAGTGATGTATTATCTAGAGCAGGGGTGGCCAAACTTATTTAACATAACAGAATAAACATCAAATGTTTGAGAGCCACAAGACATTAATATTACGCACACGTTTTTACTGAAAAATATGCAAATTTTCTTTTTATTAACATTAAATTAGACTGTGCGAAAGAGCCACATGTAGCTCCTTAGCTGCAGTTTGGCCACCCCTGATCTAGAGCCTTCATGTCCCATCTTAACTCGGTTTTGAAACTAGGAGCCATACTAAATGCTACAGAGAATTTGTGGCTGCCACAAGTTATCGATTGCCATTTTAAGATGCTGTGGGGCATTTAAAATGATTGGGCATACCGTGTGGAGCCCTCTGCTCACCATGCCTTTTCATGTGCCTCCCCACAGCTCTTTTGACACTTGAAAAGGAGCAGGGGGCTTTTAAAATGGCAGAGAACTCATGGCAGTCATCAGTTCCATCATGTTTAGTTTGGCTCTAGGGCTTCTTCTTCAAGAAACCTTGTTTGTGTTAACCATTATACAGGCACAATGCATTTTAATCATGGTTAAGGACCAACAAGAGAAGTAAGGGAGAAGGGAGCTGAAAGGGTCACATACTCTGATGGAAGACACTTCACTTGCTAGATTAATTCAGGAAATTAATTCAGGGAATTTTGTCCTTCATATCAGAGCTTAGATTAATTTAGGGCAGGGAAAAATTGCTGTCCAGTCTGAAACATTACATTTTGATGTAGATTAAACTATAATGAAGTAGCCTTTTGTATATTACCAGAAGTATTACAATTTCTTGTCCTAAGAAAGCAATATGTTTGACTTAGCACAAGCTGCAACCACTGTATTTTTCTTGCATTTCAGGTTGTACAGAAGCTGTAGTGCAAGCAGAAATTCTGCATTAGATCCAACTTTATATCTAACTACATATGAAGCCAGGAGATTCTTTCCTTCTCTTTTATGCCACTCCTACAATCTTTTTATTCATACTAGTTGAAAGGATGAAGGAACTGTGCAAATTCCTGCTATTTTTCACTAGTGTTAGAGACTACTATCCTAATCTACTCCACACAAATATTTTTTGCACATTTCCCACAGTTTCTAGAAGCTTTTTACCAAGAAGCTCATTAAGCTATTAGGGGTGTGCAAAAACAACAACTGTATATTTCGGGTTCGGGTACATTATACCAAAAAATAATAATTGGTATTTCCCGATATTCCCAAATCCCAATACCAGTATGGTATTTGGCGTCAGGAAATAGTTGGGAAACCTGAGTTTTTCCAGATCCATTATACCCTATAGGGTCCATTGGTCCCCTTAGGGTATAATGGAGAACCAATTTGGGGGTCTGGGGGAGCTGTTTTTTTTGAGGTAGAGGCACCAAATTTGCAACACAGCTGCTGGTGCCTCTCCTCAACCCCCCCCCCCAGTTTTAAAAAGATTGGACTAAGGGGTCCCCAAAGAAGGTGTCACCATCCTCCATTACTTTCAATGGAGGGGGAAAAGTTCTGAGTTCACTTGCAGAATTGCGCCACTGCTACGGTGCATGTGACTTGGCGAGTGAAAGGCATTGAAATGCCTTCTCCAAGCCACAATGCTGCCACAGTGGTGGTGGTGCATGCAACTCGGCAAGTGAGAGGCATTTAAAGAGACTGCGGTCTCTTTAAACGCCTTCTCCAAACTGTGGCGCAACTTGGTGAGTGAACTTTTCATAGCCCCACCCAAATAAAAGCTGAATAATATCGGCTTTTATTTGGGCTCCATAGCTGAAGAGAAACTCTAATTTCTTTTCAGTTTTAAACCCCCCCCCCCAAATACAGGTAAGGTATATTTTCAGGGGTTTTCTCATTCAGGTAAACAGAACACACACCCCATAAGCTATTTCAAAATGAGAATCACAATGAATCACATTTTAGTGCTAATACAGCTAAATTGAACCTTTTTTTCCTGGAATGAAAACAAATGTGGACTCACTTACCTACAATATTTATTGTACTGTCAAGTTCTGTTTTTATTGTGGAAGATAAGCAGTAATCAGAAAACCCCTGACTTGCTCCATTACTTAGTTCACAAGATGATTCCTCTGGTTCTTGCTACAGAGAAAATGTTTGGAATGTATTAGGATCCCTGAAGGATGAGGAAGGGATAGAGTATTTGGAAGCACTGCCTTCTTTCATCCCATGACTATTCTCTGTTGCTCAAGCTCTCACTGTTTCATTAATATGCCCTCTTCAGCGATTTACCAGACAGTCAAAATTGAAGCAGATTAGCATTTCAGGCTTTCCAAAATCAGAGCCAAAAGTCACAATGCTTCCCTGCCTTCTTAAAGAAACTGCTTGCATATGTAAAAGAAGTCTACAAAATTTACAGGGTGTCTTACAAGAAATGTTAATGCCCAATTTAGAATGAACAGAACATTGAGCATTTTGAGTGCGAGGTGCAGCCTCAGCTATTTATTTTATTTATTGTAACTTTCAAAGTACAATGTACAATGATATTCTAGGAGCTGAAAGAACATTGACCAGGTCACGGGTGCCCCACAAAACCAACTATAATCTGCAAAGTGCATTTTGAGACACTCTTCTGGCCCCTGAGAATAGGACATGCAGATTTCCATTGCTGAGAACATTCAAGATCTGGAGAACCTTGTTTTGTGTTTCAGTTTGGGACTTCCTTAGTTCTTCTCTTCCCTATTTGAATAACCAAGGGGAGGAGTAAAACAAAGTGTTCACTTGATTGTGATCCCATCATAAGTTATCCCCTTTCCCCATTCAGAATGTGTGTTGTGATTCAGCACAGTTTTTAAAAGCACAGAATGTGGTACTGAGCACAAAGATGTCAACTTTCATCCAAAACATAGGTACCTAGCCTTGAGTCTTGTGATTAAGGACTCCCCAAATCTCCAAAACCAATGGAGAGGTAATGCCTCACATAGCTACTTGTCTAATAAATTGTGAAAACCAGCAAAAGCTGCAGAAAAGAAAACATAGGTGAAATTATGCAAATATATTATACTTGCATAACTTGTACGGACTGCAGAATTCAGGCTTTTTCCCTACAAAATGTGGACTGCCTGAGCATAGAACTGTAATTGCATTAGAGCAGAACTCACAGTCCTGACAATACTCTGTACAATGACACATTGCCATGTATCATCAACACTAAGAATTCTGCATGCAAAGGTTGTTCAGTACAACCTAAGAGATCTCAGTGCGATGCGTATCCCTCTGCTTGCCATCAAATGTCTTGGGATAGCAGAAAGTACGTCACCAGTTGGGTGCGTGTGAACTGCCATCAAGTTGCAGCTGACTTATGGTGATCCCACAGGGTTTTCAAGGCAAGAGATGTTCAGAGGTGCACAATGGGAAAATACAGAAAGCCCTATATGCCAGTCACTGGTGTAAGCCTACTTCCATATCTCATCAGAACTACAAGGAGCAAAGGAGTGGTGAAATCGTCTTTATCATGTGGCACGATGTGACAGACAGCTATCTTATGCAGTGGTTACAGACACACTATGGAAGGGGCCTCTTGCTGAAAGGATCTCGACCACTATCTGCTCTGGCTGCTGTTTTAAGAGGCTTGATTCCTGTGACAGACTTGCACAGCTGCATTTTGCAACCAGTTATATTAGGAGGGTGTCAACTGAGACTGCCTGCTGGGGCCATGGTATCATCGTTCTACAAAGAGCTCTAAAAATTCAGACCATCTGGGGGGATCACTTCAGCAGAAAAATCTACCATTACTGTAACAAAATGACTAGAGAACATCAAACTGTAACATCGTTGCCCATTAAATGAAAAATGTACCTTAATTTGCTTCATTTTTTCTTCCTTCTCTGACTTGAGTTTCTTTCCTGTAGGAATGCAAGGAGAGGTGTGTTTTTTAAATAACCATTTAACTGAAAGCCTGATCTATTTTGCCCAGCTCCAAAATACTGTGAAGCTTCTCCAAATAACAGAAACCCACCTATAATACTTTCTGTTCTTTCTTTCCTCCAAGAAATCATGGGCAGCACGCATGGCCTTCCCCTTTACTTTCACAACATTCCTGTGAGGCAGGATAAGCTGAGATGGAGTGGCCCAAGGTCACCGTGTGGCAAGGGAAGATTTGAACTAGGTCTCTCTAGCCAGACATGCTAACTGCTACACTAAGTACCAAGCATTGCTCCAACACATTCTCAATTCATTTCAATGGCACTTGAGTTGGACGTGCATGCAAACCACACTGAAATGAAGCTGTATGGTACCAGAAGCACTTTGTATTTCATAGGCATTGTAAATTCCAATAAATTATTTTCTCTCACTGCACCCACCTATTTTTTGCCTTTTCTTGTTTTGCTTACTGGCAGGGGTCATTTCCTGCAGGAGCGCACAGGAGCGGAGCTCTGGCAGTAAAGAGCCCAGGGGGCAGGCACATGCTACAAGCTCCCCCCCCTGCCCCCAGCAGCCCTCAGTCAGAGCAAGAAGCAGCCAGGTAAGCTGCA